CTGTGCTCTTGAACTAGTAGACTCTTTACTAATTTAAACTCCTGGTTTTATAAGCAATCTGATGTAATAGTCGAGTTCTAGCTGCTCTGCCTTCTCCCCCCTCACCCCCCCTGCCAAACGCCCACCCTTTCTATAGGCTACAGTAAATGTTTTTGCTATTTAGGCACACTCTGTAACAGTGGAGCGCTTCACATGTGAAAGCTCTCGTGTTCAAAAGTCCTCTGATTATCAGAGCCCAGATGATGCAGGGGAGAGGAAGAAAAAGACAAACATGTGGAAGCACGTATGCATTACCTTGCGTGACAACAGATGCTTATTCTGGTGAAAGAGAGTAAGGAATGAAAAGGCCCCTGCTAGATAAATAACAGGTCCACCCACAGGAGCACAGAAGTTGTGAAATTCATCTTCATTTCTGGCCAAATTAAACCTGTTTGGTCTACTTTGTGGCCTCTGCACAGAGATTACATCTTACAACTGATGGATACTGTACCGTATTCTTTTACAATTTTTACATTTTCTAATCTAATTTTTGTCTCGCCGTGTGTACTTGTGATACAGTGAGCTCATTTTCATCATAGCGACGGGGATATTTTTCTTATAGCAATTGCCTTTTTTCATTTTAAAATGTCATTTGTTCAGTGATCCATTTCTACATTTAGTTTGTGTTTCATTCTCCTATAAAATTACCCAACATTTCCTGACAGGAAAGAAATTACCTCAGGACAGACAGCTCTAGCTAAACAAAATTTCACATCATCTTCACGCTAAGCACAAACTTTCTCTAGTTTATTTTCATCCGAATGAAAAATTGTGCTAATTTTCACTTGTCTCCACTTTTGTGCATTTCTCTCTTGATATATCACACTATAGCTTTAATAAGCCTTTAAGAGACATTTTCTATAAAATATAACCCCGGTCTCCTCAGGAAATGGGAATGAAATTGATTTATATTTCTATTTTTTTATATATATGTATAATTTTTTTATTATTATTACAAATGGACATAAATTACCTCTCGAAGATTGAGGTTCCAACCACAGACGGGAGGCAGGCGGGATCATTTACTTATTTATTTTTAAATAAAACTAAAAATATCTACATACCACAAAACAGAAGAATAGAAGACACTGGTCATGACATGCAGATTGGAGCAGATGATGGCTACAGTGAATGGCTGTTGAGAGGGGGTGATTAGTGAAGTGAAAAAAAACGGTGAGTTTTGAACTCTGATGCATTACAGTTGGCTTTCCACATGAACCAAGGCAGCTGAGGTTAAGATGACAGAAAACAGACACAGCTTGTAACTGCACAGAGCACAGCTAAACACAAGTGAGGCCAAAGGCACGTATAGAGACTTAAATCTCAGGTGTGACTTCATATAAACACTCTTATACTTTGCGTGTTTCCCTAACAACAGTCCCTTTATCATGTTCTGTTTACTATGAATACAACACGGTCTTTAATAACAAATGTCACCTTTTTTTTAATTTTTATTTGCAGTTAAACGTATTAATCACCATGTGGTGGATGCCCTTACCACCACCACATAGTGTTAGTATTGATTTCTTTATTAGTATAGTTTATTTCATTTAGACATATATTTTCTCATGGGTGCACACTTTAGTGAATGTCTGTCTGAATGGTTAATTTATACTTGTTTTTGTTTGAGGTGCCACTTATAGGAACCAGCTGGTGGAGGAACCTGGAGTAAACCATCTACAAATTTCTGAAAGACTGAAGAGGGAGACTTCAAGTTTTTATTTAATTTTGTCACTTAAATATTCACTTATTGTTTGTGCTAAGTTAAAGTTATTTTGCTTTATTTGTTTATAGAATCCTTTAGTTAATTTTGTATTTATTTGTTCTTTTGTTTGGTCAGACATCCCTCCTGTGGTAGATTTGGGTTACTCCACCCCTATTTAAGCAGCCTTTGTTCTTTGTTTGGTAGGTCAGTTTTGTTTGTGTTTAGAGTTCAGTTGACCTCAGTTAATTTGGATCCAAATTTGTTATTTATCTTTTGATTTATTCTTGCTTTAAATTTTTATGCTTTGTTGATGATTTTTTTGAAGAATTAAATTGAAGCCTTTTTCTACTTTGAACATTTTTTGTCTTTGTTTGAGTCCGGTCCCTCACACACCACAATGAGAATGTGGTTTTTGTTGTTCACCTTCTCTATAGCAACATGTCGGACGAGCTAGATCCACCTGGTGGTGGAGGCAACGACCAACCATCTATCAAGACGATAAAATCTACATCCTGGCGCTTCGGAGATTCTCTGAATTCATAAAACCACGTAAAGTTATGAAAGTAGTAAACTACCACCACCTATCAGCCAGTACAATGGTTGGTTACCATGGAGACTGAGCGTAGACTACTTGACTGATATCATTTTCACATTAAAGAAGCATTTAAAATTACTGAATACATGTCTGTACTCTGGAGGGTTTTTTATATATCGCATCATATCATCCTGTGTCTTTGAAAGTTAATGTACCATTTACGTGAGTGGAGTGTACAAAACCTAAAGAAGTTAATGTGGCTGATCTCTTACATATTAGCTCTGTAAGTTATCTAATTAATTTTAATCCTAAAACATTTTCATACAATGAAATAAGCGATATTTCAGTTCTGTTTATTTTAGCACAAATTCACAAAGTCATTTCAAGGGACTTTTTACAAGACTAGCAGCACCAATATATATGCAATTCATATGAAATTATGTGTAATCCAATGCATTTCACATCCAATTAAATCAAACCAAAGGGAAGTCATTTAATGATGGAGCAAGAAAGATGGTGGAGAGCAAGATGCATCAAGTGTAAGTCATGAACACAAAAACACAAACTGCATTTTAAAGCGCGATCTAGCCCAGAAAGCTTAGAGCAGAGTGTTCCAGGAAATGATGCAGTTTTGTTTTAAGAAGTGTTTTTCTGTAGTCTAAAATGGTAAAATGTTTTCTGTGCTTTTTGAAATGTTGAGGATTTTATGCTGTTGCTCTGTTTTGTCAAGTCTTGTGTGGTGCACCTCAGGGTGCAAGATCTCTGACCTAGATCTGTAATGAGCCAAGCATTTTTTCAATGGGGGGAAAAAAAGAAAAAAGCTGCTTCTTCTAAAAGCAAATAAAAAGAATCTTTAAACCACTTTTCCATCTCTGTATTTAGCGAGGGAGGGCCATTGCGAGGAAGAGTAGCCTGCTGTCGTCTCTTTCTGCAAACGCTTTCGCAAAGCGGTTGCAGCGGCTCCTGCATAATCTGTTGCAAGTTAAGCGTCACTTTCAGTGTGTAACACAATGGGCGGTTGGGAATCAATAACCTACCAGGGAGTGTGTGCGCGTGTAAGGAAAATAGAAGCTTTGCATATATCCAACCGAGTGGAGAGAGTAATTTCCTTTCTTTGGCACAAAGCACTGATCCCTGCGACATGGTTTAGTATTTAGGTAGAAAGCACAAAACATTTTACACTCCATAGCCTTTTTATCGAGGATAGTTGGCCAGTGCCAGATTGGATTCTTTTTTTTTTTTTCCAGCAAGACACTTTGAATCTTTAACTTATTCATATGGAAAAATTCGTAAGCGAGAAAGAAAATAAACAAAAGCAGTGCAATCATTTTTGCTGCATTTTGTGCTGGACGGTCTGTGGGCCTTCGTCCACTGACATTGTTAAAGTAACAAATTGCAGTGAATGTTTAAAAAGTAAAATCACTTTAATTCATGGTGCCTTACAAAATGAACATTATCACATTTTGTCACGTTAAAGCCACATACTTTATTACATTTTATTGAAATTTAACTTGATAAGCCATCACAATGAAGAGCATTATTATAGGAAGATACAATAAAAACTTCACCATTGTTTTCAGCCCCTTTTATGCCGATTCCTCCAAGTAAAACTGAGTGCAATTAATTCCCTTCATTGTTAGTATGTTCACCCGTATGTAATTTAATCCTAGTCCAGTTAATCTGTGAATGCTTGAAAATTTTCAGAGCACATGAGTGAACAAAGCAGAATTGGAATAAAAAAGCTTGAACTTTAAACATCTTAACATATTATTCAATACATCATCCAAAACTGGAACGAATACGTTGCAACATATCCACACCTGAAAATATAATTTTCCTCTCATCTCACAATTGTGCGCTACTTTTTTCTGAGTCCTATTACAAAAAAAACTCAGATAAAGCACAGAGAAGCTAAAAAAATGCAGAAAAATCAATAATCTACCAGTGATATACACTGCTCAAAAAAATAAAGGGAACGCTCAAATAACACATCCTAGATCTGAATGGATGAAATATTCTCATTGAATACTTTGTTCTGTACAAAGTTGAATGTGCTGACAACAAAATCACACAAAAATCATCAATGGAAATCAAATTTATTAACCAATGGAGGCCTGGATTTGGAGCCACACACAAAATTAAAGTGAAATGTTCCCTTTATTTTTTTGAGAAGTGTATATATATATATATATATATATATATATATATATATATATATATATATATATATATATATATATATTGTATTGGGTCTAGTGGCCTGTAATTGAGAGTGGTCAGACCACAAAATGGGTAATGAGAGAGGGGGAAGACACGTGGCAAAGGGTCATCAGGCTGGGACTCCAAGGCCTCCATACATGGGTTGTGTTTTACCCCTGACACTCTGCTGCTCACAACCAGCCAAAAATGTTTATTGGTCGGACACATTAGTTCCTCTGATTTTGCAGGGACAGTTCCCTGCACGCCGAGTATCTTGTGCCCTTTTGCATTCGTGTGCAGTAGTGCGTTCATCCGCTGTGGAAGGCTCTGATTTACAACACTTGACAGCCATTGGTGGGAAGAGCAGCGTTTTTAATGTATGACATGCTAGCTATCCTTTCCCTTTAATGACAATGCTGTACTTCTTACCCGTCTGGTTTTTCTGACAGAGGAACAAGGCTGCTGACACTGAAGCCCTTTGTTCTGTTCTGTTTTTTTTTTTTTCTGAAGAAGGCAAAACTAAGTTTACAATTGATTTTCCAGATCCTGTTTGGCTGCAGGCATTGTGGACAGACGTCTTACCCTGCAATCAGCCTTGCATATTTACTGTCAACACAGGGTCAGCTGGCATTTTTTTTACCCCATCTTTATTTTGACGATCAACCCAGCCTCTTTACATTCTTAGCTTGTGCTGATCTCCTGCCGTCTTGTCCCACTTCAATCCTTGATGAGTTTGTTTGTACAGAGAGGCTCCTCTTCACAGCCTCATTGCACAGAAGTCCTATTCTCATCATTCTCGGTGTGTGAGTAACGTTGACTTTTGTTTTTCTCCCCACCATCTTCAATCAGCGAACCCATTTCAGCACACACGGCACCAACACAGACGGAAATTTTGGCACACCTTCTCTGATGTCCAGCGGGAAGACATTTCTGGCCACCTTTTGAATTGCTGGGAATGGACGCATCAGCAGTTGTGGCGTATTTGTGGTCACTTTGCATATCTCGTCACTTTTAACGTGTACTTACTTCCTAGCAGAAATGTCTTCTTTTTAAAATGTACGCATCTGAACTTTAGCTACGTAGCAATCTGAGGGAACAATTTGTGCAAATTTATTTTAGAGAGCACCTTTCATGCATGCAGGTATTCATGGAAAATGCATATGAGTTCAGCATATCAAAATATGTAGCTATATTGGGTTTCAGCGGGACTAAATCAGCACCCAGAGCATATATGTAAATCTCTAATTCTATGCATCTTGCAAAATAGGGTATGAAATGTTTCATTTAAATATAAAAAAGTGGACAAATTTTATTAATTTAGCCTTTGAAATGACTAAAGATTTTGCCCCAAAGACAAAATTCACACATTTGAGACTCGATGTGTTCCCCCTAAATGTGTGTGCAATTTCACTGTAGTCACTCCTGATTACTGTCAGACTTGCAGAATGAAGTCATTTCTTAAATAGAACCTGTCTGACAACATGAAGTAGGCTACAAGATCTCAAAAAGCAACACATTGTCCCCTAATATAAAGAAATTTAAGAACAAATGGAAAAATCTATCTGGAAAGAGTTACAAAACCTTTCCTAAGGGATTTCCAGAGTCATGAAACACAAACAGCAAAAACATGGAGGAATGAAGAAGCTCACCAGGAGTCTCCAGTCAGCCAAGACATTCAGAGTGCATCGATGACACAACCAGGAGGTCACAGAGTAACATCTTAAGAACTGAAGGCACACTTACTAAAGATTAACTGTACTTTATTTTTGAAAAACAAAGTGCACTAATCGTGGAGAATAATTCTTTGAAATGCCAACAATCAAGATGTCTCTGATCAAGTTGTGTAAGTGTGTGTGTGTGTCCATTTGCTTGTAAAGCGCGAGGCTTCTTGTTACACCCTGAGGGGCTGACGGCTCAGCTGCATGGGAGAGGTGCTGCAGCATTTACCACCTGCTTTGAAATAAGCCTTCTGTGCAACTGCGATAGTGTCATGTGAAGTGAAATGAAAGCGATGGCTGTGCATTTCAACGGCTCCTGTTTTTAGACTAATCTTTTCGTGGCATTCCTACTTTTATTAGATTGCGTACAAGTGGTGAGTGGGGAGGCAACGAGAGGAGGCAGAGTGGGGTTGACAGGCAACAATTGTCATATTCATTTCTTTCTGACAAGTCGCTGGCTCCCTGGGATATTTCCATTCATGCAGCATGTAGACTCGGCTGATGTCCAGGTTTTGGTATCAATGCATGACAACTAACCGAGCTACTTCTGTCTCTTCAAATATACCTGATCAGAACCTACATTTAGTTGGAAATAAGTCGACAGCATTCTCCTAAATCAGTTAAGATAACTGAATCATTTAAGAATTTAAGTCCAAACCCTCAAAACTCCTAAAATATCCTGTCTTTATTCCACTTGTTTTTATTTTCCATGTAGCCAAGCTGCTACTCTGAAATGTCTGGCTCTGCAGCAGTAACTGGATGCACATCACACACTGACCCCCTGCCGTGCCCCAAAGCTGCCTTGGGTACTCTCAACAATAAGATGAATCAAAGAGAGAGGATTTCATTTTTGTATCTTTCATCATTTCAGCCACCTTATAAAAGCTCTAACGCCTCGTACTGAGAGAAAATTTCTGTAACATATTTTTTTTTCCCCCTTCTCACTGACAGTCTGATTTTACAGGGAAGAAAATTGCTTTCCCTTTAAACATGACTGGTCTTGTCAAATTCAGCATAGTGTGCAGTATCCTGGCCCAAATTTCTGCTTTCTCTGCCTCGTACGGGTTCCTTCCCGTGTAATCTTGTAAGGTTTTAGGAAAAAAAAAATAGCTTGAATTAAATGCATTAAATCTGGATTCCTCACATACATTCTAAGTCATTCTGAGGCCACGGCGAATTGAAGAAACAATTGTCTTTCTCACAAATCTACAAAGTGTGTTTAATTTTCCAACTGGCATTGGGGAAATCCAAATACAACCTTATTAATTTATTCTGGTTATCATTCTTTATTTAATTTTCTCCCAACAGAGAGTGTCAGCTACTGGCTTTAGCTTTTAAATGTCAGACAAAATCAGTTTATGATGTTATGAACCAGTCTGGCCAGGCCTCTGCCTTTGGCTGCAACTCCGGGTTAAATTGCACCAAACCATGATGTTCCTCCTTCAGGCTGGTACAATTAAAGGCCAAGTGAAAAGAGCATTCCATATACTTTCTCATTCTGAGCCCGTCCAAACCGCAAGAGCCAATGCTTAGGCACTATGCTCTCATGGAAAATTTGCTAGCAGTCAAAGCTTCGGAAAACAAAGCTGCCAGATCAGAGGGGTACTAAAACCTTTTCTGCCGTTAAGGTGAGATTTCAAATTGGGATCTCCCTTTCACCTTTGGGAGGTTTCCTGGGTGCATGCTAGACCCTGTGGGATCCACAGTTGGAGTCTCACTGGGGAGATGGATGTCTCCATCTTCCTAAAACTCTAGAAAATGGATAGGTGGATGAACCTCCATTATGCAGTGGAACCCTGTCTATTCATGACTCAGTATTCACAAATTTTGCTGTTGAACCGTGGAACGCTACTGCAAAGTTTTCAACAAAAATCTGCATATTCGAAGATGGGTTGTTTTTTTGTACAACATTTCTAAAATATTCTAAAGAAAACTCAACTTCTAAAGTTGTAATATTTAGTATTTTGTTTCTTGAAAAACTATTGGATGGCTTTTAAAAAGCAGCCAATCACAGACCTCTGTGCCGCTGAATAGCTATATGGTATAGGGGTCACCAACTCCAGTCCTCAAGGGCTACCATCCTGCAACTTTTAGATTCACCTCTGCTCCAAAATGTCTGAATTCCCTCACTAGCATTCATTCCTCTCTGCAATAGGCTGGAAACGAGCCGTTTATTTGATCCAGGGGTGTTTGAGCAGAGACGCATCTAAAAATTACAGGATGGTAGCCCTCGAGGATTGGAGTTGGTGACCCCTGGTATAGCCTATACCCCAAAAAGCGAAGATGAGAAAAACTTTAGGTACTAGTTTCTGCAGTTGTGCTTGGACAGAAAGATTTTCTGACCCCTTGGAGGGCGCTCAAAGCCTAAGCATTGACCATTAGGTTTTGAGCTCGATTGTCGCTTTAGTATTAAAACAGAACACGATATAAGAGACGGTGGGTGGCTCGTTGGTAGGACATGTGTCCGTTATCCTCAATGCAGTTGTCCTAGGTTTGATTTCTGGTCTCCAGCTGTTTAGTCTTCCCGTTCTCTCTTTTTTATTTCCTTTCTTATTGATCAATAAAGGTCACTCGTGACAAAAAAATCTTTTAAAAAAAAATTTGATGGTGACCAAAATGAACTTGTATTAGATGATAATTTTTTCCTGTACACACAAATAACATGTAATGAGGGTGTATCATACAAGACACAACGGCCTCAGAGATGTTATACAATTTAAGTCTATTTTTTTCCTTCCATCTAGGCCTGCATAAAAAAACATTTTTTCAGATGCATCAACAGACAAGGCCAGACAAGAAACAGCATAACAGCAGCTTACAAGGCTTAACCACTGCAGGGGAAATAGTGACTACTCAAACTATTAACAGAAGCCCACTTTAAAAAGTCAGAACAGTTTTTTGAAAATGGAAGAAACATGCAAGTGAAACAGTTCAATTTTTCCTGTAGTTTCCATTTGCTGTCCACTGAAATGGTGCATTGCTAAGGAAATATATGAAAAGGTCCTGGGTTTTTCATCTTTTTTCTGCAGAAACGGTCATGTTTTTCATGTATATATTAGGTTCTGAAAGGGGTCAAGATCATTTATATTGCACATTTCAGCAACAAGGCATTTCAAAGTGCTTAACATGATAAAAACATAGCACATTAAACAAACAAGAGAAACATTAATTTTCAGTGGCAAAATAAAGAGAAATAATGAAAAGCTGCAGTCAAGATTAAAACTGATGTTCTCGTTGCGAAAACATGTAAAATAAATTTGCACCGTGTTTTGTGATATTTTTCAGCTGTTCTGAATGTAATAAATTATTAGTGAATCACAAAAGGCTGCGCTTGTTAAGATTTTAAACTCCCTCAACTCTTTTGGACAGGGATTTATGGGAACATCATTAAAGATTAATAGAATTAAATGACTATGGTGTCTCCCCTGCTCCAAACTCTAGTAAAGATGCTTATTCAGGGACACGGGGATTGGATTAGGTTGCTGCTAAACACTGAGAACTGCGGCAGAAATGCAGTAAAGCTGACGGAGAACAAGCTGTAAGTTTGTTGGTGAGTGTGATTCATTGGACTGTTGACCTTCCTTTAAGGGAGATGATGAATAACCTGGTATCAGACCCCAGGCATCAGGCCCCGCTCTCCCTCTCAGCTGTCTGCAGCTTCACCTTCAGCTCACATTCAATCACTCTGGCAGCCTTTGCCTGATAAATACCCACCATATGGCTACCTTCCTCACCTCTTGCTCTGTGCTGAAAAACAAACAACTAAATGTCAGTGCAACAGCAATGGTGCCAACCCATCCTCCCATAAGCACAATATCCCTTCCAATCCCCCACCCCGCAATCCTCTCCCACCCACCCATAATAGCCTGCATTACTGCAGTTAATGGAGGAGATGACAGACAAATTGGTGCACCGCTGCCCTTGCTGGAGTACTTGAAAATGAAAATGAATACCACTGGTATGGTTTGTCTTATTTTTAAAGCACACTTTAGAAAATAAAACCTTTCTCATCTAATATTTTACATATGGTCATTTTCGTTAGGCAAGGCTGTTTCACTTCATAACATGACACAAGAATCCTCGTAGTCCATAAGAGGTCTGTATTGGCCCACAGAGACGTTGTCTTAAGCCCCGCAGAACATGCTGCTGGCATGTCTATAAAACAAGAGCGGCCAGTTATAAGTCCTACGGCATTTCTGTTCAGCCTTGGGGATCTTGACTTGGCAGAAATTAGCTTGAGGGTCTTCTGCTGAATTCACAGATGCACACATCATGCTTAAGGTTCAGTAATATTTCAAAGAGCATGATACATTTTTGTAAACAAGAAAAAAATGATTGTCCAAGTATGCAGCAGGAGCATTTAGAGACACCTG